CGGGAAATGAAAAATGCGCGGAAGGAATTCGAGGAAACACTGGTTGGTAGGCGCGCTTGAAATTCTTGTCATTTGCACATAAGAGCGCCTAATTGCGAAGGTCCTCCGCGCACGCGAACCCGCCCCGGCTCTCTTAGACGGGGGAGAAAGCAGAGCTGAGCCAGAGCCGAGGACGAACCGGAAGTTTCGTGGGTGGACGGCGGCTGCGCGCCACGATCCTTTGTCACGCGAATTGACATGCAGGAACGATGCCCGGGTAGCCGTCACGTGAGTCACCGCGGGTGTGCGACCGCACAATTAGCTGGATGCGTATTCCGTTTGCATAAATAAATATGCGCGTGTTTGCCGCCTCCCCTTCCACTCTTTCTCTCACTCTCTGTCCTCCGCTCCTCGACGTCCTTCTTTCTCCTACGTGTTTTCTTCTTCGAATCTCGTCCCTGGCGAGTGGCGCGTATGCGTGCCTGCGCCCGTACGTAGGCCGCAAATAAACGGTGAAAAATCGCGAACAGCGAAAGTAAGAAGCAAACGAACCGCGAGAGGAAAAACGAGGAGGAGAAGTGCCGGGAGAATAAAACCACGTATAACCAAGAATAAACGTGCGTCGCGTATCTCGAAATAGAGACACACACTCTCTCTCTCTTTCTCCGAGAACTAATCGACGTGGAGATTTTCTTCCGACGAAACGACAACCCTTGAAACATCGGAGAAGAATCCATAGAGTACATAGTTGGACAGAGTTGAAAGATGCGAAATTTTCGAGGCACGAGAGTAGACACGAGCGGATAATCGTCTCGCGGCGCAGTTACAGCCGATATACACGACGTACGGTACTAAACGTCGTAAGCGGTACCGAGGCCGGTACGACGCTTTACATACGAGCTCGCGAGAGTGCCGCGGCAAAAGTGACCGTGAGGGGAAACCAGCGGGGAGGGGAAATGCGCACAATGCTACCAACCCGACGAACTCTATAGAGCTGTCACTCACTGTTGCCTGGAGAGTCGGTTGCGAGAAGCGACTCGTCTTTCTCTTTCTCCTCTCTCTCTCTCTCTCTCTCTCTCTCTCTTCTTCTTCCTCCCTCGACATTCTCTCCCTCTTGTCCAGTCTTCCTGGATTCTGCCACGCGTAGACGTACAACGGGTTCATCGACGTTGATTTTCTATGGGGAGTTGGATAAGGAATATCGAAATGTCACGGATATCACTCGGCTTGTACGGGCTGTCGATGAACGCGAGGCGACGAACGGCTGATCATCGCGACGTCGCGTGAATCCCTCGCGTTTCGAGGCGAGGCGAGGCGACACGAGCCGCGTCTCTCCCCATAAAGAAGTCGTACGAGACCTTCTCTTAACCTTTGCTCTCGGGATGCGTGTTTTTGCCGCGGAACAGCAAGCCGAGAGGCGAGCCGAACGGGGCCCCCGGCGGGTCGGTGCCCGGTAATTGCGATGAGATATGGCGGCCACTTCTCATTAAAATAGTTTAATATATATTTGTCAAGCTATCGCCGCGACGTATGTCCCGCCATTTGTTATCGCCTCCCCTTCCATTCTGCTCTTCGCTTTAGACGCGCAACGGCCTTTATTTCTCGTAAATTCGGCACTCGGCTAATAGCCGGCATTTGTCTCGTTGTCACCGGTCGGGATCGTTCACAGAAATTCAGAGACGCGAACGCGAACACCAAACGACCCACCGCCGCGCGAGCATAGAGACCGCGCCCTCTCCACCGATCTTCCTCCTCTTTTTCTTTCCTTTTCGTTACCGTTGCAACCACGAGCGACAGAAATACGCGAAAGAGGGTGGAATTGGGAAGTGGGTAGCGTACAATTAATGGTATCAAGAGGCTCGTTAAGGCACCACCCTTCTCTCGACTCGCTACGTTATTGCGCGTGCCACTTCTCCGCTACTCGGAGCTCCCTCTTGTTTATCCCTTTATCGGTCTCGACCGCTCTCGCAACCTCTCACAGCCATGTATGTACTTACAAAGGATACTAGGGTGCAGAAGAGCTCGTTAGTAATCTTCCTTTACAATCGGCCGGTATGTACGAGCCGTGGGCGAACGCAGACAGTTAAATCTGCAGTTTAAACGCATGGCTCGTCGCGCGACATTGCTCGCTCGGACGTTTTTAACCTAACCGAGTCAAAACTGGTGTACCGGGCTCCGGTAATTGGAGTCTGCCGCGTCACAGAATCCCTGCGCGACCTTCGACAACGTGCAAACGGTTTATTCTCGCCGTAGACTATCTTCCCTCGCGTGTAAGCTCCGCGTTTAAACGGCGTATTTCGTTGGTTCTCGTCTCGGCAATTAACGTTCCTCCCGCGGCTTTATACAATCGCGGCGATCGTTCTCAGGTATGTTCTCCCAGGCAGCCTTTCCGCCGCGTTTAGCAGTGCGAACGTTTTAATTTCGAGCGTGGAGCAAGAAAGAGAACGGATCGATAAACCTTCTCCGCCGCGGACTTATCGACGAAAGCCTTCCCCCGAATAACTCAGACTTTTACGAGAGTCCTGAAAGCACGTTTTCGAGCTGGCCGGCAAAAAAAGCGGAGAATATAAATACTCGGAGACAAAGAGGAGCGAGGGACTCGTAGCTCGAAAGACCAGTTTATTATTATTCGGCAACCGCCCACGCGTACCTCGTGCCCTCTCCGCGTCGCGTCGCGTCCGTTGCCCGATTCTCAGCCGAGGATTCCGCGTTCCTCCGTTCCGCTCCGTTCGACGTTCTCCCTCGAAAGCGACTCGTGGAAAAGCAACTGTCGGCCGAGCGTGCCGCGCGAGCATCGGCGGGTTAAGAGAAAGGTCGTCGATTAAGATAGCTGTCTGGTGTTCCTGGCATGCCTCGCACAGTCTTTCTCCTCGCTATCAACCCTCCCTCCCTCCCTTCCTTCCTTCCTTCCTTCCTTCCTCCTTTCGCCGTCTCTCGGATCGTCTCGATGGAATACCAACCGGTCCAACGACACTCTCCGCTCCTTCTTTCGCCTTTCATCCCTCTGCTTCACACGTCTCGTCTAGCAGGGATAGGAGATAAGGATACCGTTTCGCGAATTTGCCAACGAGTCTTCTCTGTAAAACGTGTGTATTAATTGTTGGCGATCTCGACGAACGTCGGCGGAGCGTGGAGAGCCGCAAAAGGGTCCGCGCCGTACCGCGGCGGCGATTTCGAACGATCGATGCACGATCGGATTTCGAAGCGTTCGGAGTAATTGCGCGGCGACT